TTGCTGTGAGTAGTAGTATATACGTGGTACACGACGTAATCATGCCCGTTCCAGGGATACCTCTTTCCATTTCTCTACCACCCACCAACAACTTCAAACTCTCTCTCTCTCTTTCTCTTTCTTTCAGTCTCTCTCGCTTTCTATCACTTTTCCCTCCTTTCCTATCTTTTTCCTTTTCCCTTTTTTATTTTCTCATTTTTTTTTTCCTACAATTGTTACGGATTGTATTTTTTATTTTATTTCTTTTTTTAGCAAATATCACTGTTTCTTTTCTGTTATCTCTCTCTCTCTCTCTCTCTCTCTCTGTCTCTCTTTTTTCTGGGGTGTCTTCTTCTTCTTCTTCTATTTAAACTGAATTGTATTTTGTTGGCGTATCTTGTGCTGTTGAGTATTTTGTATATGGTGTCGTTGGTTGTTTGATTTAATAAGAAAACCAAAAGTTTCCATTACTCGAGTATTTTGTTATTTATTTATTTAGATTGTTTGTGGTAGCATATTTTTGTTATAAGGTATGATGTATTTTGCGATCGGTCGTTTGATTATATAATTATATTTTAGAAAGAAAATTTATGGAAAAAAAAAAAGATAACGAATTCCTCGTTTAAATCTTTTAATCTTTAATGAAAGCTCGTTCAACTTGTTCATCAAAATCGGTGAAGAATTACGGCTGAATTGATAGTTGGGATTAAACCGTTATAAAACCAAGGGTGGTGAACAACTTTAATCGTTATATCTTTCCGATAGAAACGAGGCGTGGCTCTCTCGGTTAAAATTATTGAAGTAGATAAAAAAAAAAAAAAGCAAAATAAAAAACAGAAACAGATAAATGAAAAGAGAATATGTCGATGTTCCCTATTGAACGTTGCACAAGTTGCTTTAATTATGTTACCATTTATAAAGCTTTCATTATTCAATTAATATTATTTCATATTTGAATAAGTAAGATATTTAAAGTAAAAACAAAAACAAAAACAAAAAAAATAATAAAAATCATTAGCAAAAACAAAAATAAATCATCGACGAGTGAAGAAATATAATTCTCTTATTTGAATTGATAAAAATAAAAAAAGAAAAGAAAAAAAAGAAGAAAAAGAAAAGATGCGAGAAAAATCTTACGATTAAATAAATCTCGAGAGAAAAAAAAATAGCCGAGAGAGAGAGAGAGAGAGAAAAAAAAGCAAAAATGGCATCCATCGTCCGGAAGGTCGTAGAGCCTGGAGGCTGAAAAATCCCGGAGAATTACGATGAACGTGGAGTACGTATATTAACAAAGGAACTCTCGAAATTTTTCAGGGAATCTCATAGAAAAACGACTCGTTAAAAGGGGTGAAAATTTTCGAAGCAACGAAATCGACAAGCATTCCTTTCTCTCTCTCTCTCTCTCTCTCTCTTTCACACACTTTCTTTTTCTTTTTATTTCTTTTTTAGCTTAGCTTTAGCGAAAAAAAAAGAAAATGAGATAGATAGAGAGAGAGGGATCCCGTCTTTGGTGAATTTTTCAACGCCTACCTTAACGTATTCCATTGAGAAGGAGGAAGGCTCACAGGATTCGCTTTCCTGAGCGGTTGGGACCCCCGGAGGGTCAGGCTAGGGCTCTGTGTCCCTTTGTCGTTCCCTTTTCAATGCGCTGTGCTACCTCTGCTTTCGTTTCGGTGTATGCCCAAGGCAGCTGCCATTTCTCTTTCTTCTCTTTTGGCTACACCAACTGTGTTGCGTATGTGTGTGTGTGTGCGTGTGAGAGAGAGAGAGAGAGAAAGAAAGAGACGCTTTTCAAAGTCTCTTTTCTACCCTCTTGTCCTAACTCTCCATCATCCCTGCTTCATCTGCACGTTAACGATCACTACCTCACGTTATATTTCTTTCTCTCTCTCTCTTTGGTCTGCTAGTCTTGATGCGAAGCATGACGAAAACCGAGGGGTCCAAAATCCCCCTGAGAGATTATTTTCCCTTTCTGCCATCATATTTTCTTTCTCTCCGTTTCTCTTTACCTTTACCTCTACCTTTCTCTTGTTTCCCTAATTTTAACTATACATTATTTCTCTGATCATTTTTCTCTTTTTGACTTGTCAACATTGTTTAAAAAACATTTATAAATTGTTTGTAGATTATTTAATTAAACACGTCGAGATTCGAAAAGTTTGATATTTTTAGAAATATTTCTGGTATTTTGTTTTTTTTTTTTTTTGGAAGAAATGTTTATTCAACTCTCGCTTTTTATTTGATGCAGATTGTACCTTTCTGCCCTTTGTTATTATTTTTGTTTGTTTTTGAACATATATCACAATAAAAGACTAAATTGTATGGAACAACTTTGAAAAGAAGGAAGGAAATTTTGTAAGAAACTTTTCTAGAATTTTTCTTTTTTTCTTTCTTTCTTTCTCTTTCTTTCTTTCTCTTTCTTTCTTTCTCTTTCTTTGTTCTTTTTAGGAATTGACATAACAAAGATAGCTCCTTTGTTATGTCAATTTGAAAGAAACTCGAATCTATCTATCTACGAGATAAAGTTTTATCGTTTTTTACTAATCTGAAAAATCATTCCGTAATGTATTTGTTTGTATGTGTATTCGAAGAAGAGAACACATACTCGTACATACAATCCTCCTATAACACGGTATTCCGAGAACACAGATTTAACACATTCTTGACTGAATACGTCAGTAGTTAATTAAATTTCTAATTTTAATATTTGACAATTTAAACAAAATTCATGTGCAATTTAATATAAAATTGTCTAGGTCCTGTGTTCAATGCGTCGCAATAAAAAATTATATTTAAAAATTATATTTAAAAATTATATTTAAATTAAATTTCTCTCGCATTTGTAAAATATTTCTGAACAAATAACGTAAATATTCGTATAATTTTCTATTACTTCATAGTTTCTTAGAAAAGTACGATAGAAATGAAGCGTGTTATAACAGGAGGGTTGTAATACTACAGTAGAAAGGTAGTTTCAAAGTATATATATATATATATACAGTTTAGGTATATCGCAGGTACAAAGGTACAAAGGTATAAAGACCAGGAAGAAAACGAAAGACGATGAATTATAGAGACTGAGTTATAGCACAGCCAGTAGAGAGTATACATATACGTATCCGCACACAAACGCACAGATCTATATATGTATATACCCAAGGTATGGGTGCTATACTTCCTATAGCACGGATCGATATCCACTCCGCAAGCTTGGAAGTGGAAAGTACGCAACCGAAAATCGATAAGGTTTATACATTATCGATAAGCTTTTTCTACGGAAAACTTAGAAACCTTTCAGGCACGAGAATATATATATATATATCAATGTTTATTACTTTCGAATCGATTTCTTGAAAAATAATACTTCAATACTGGAAATAATCATTCTCTTTATTTACAATGACTTTAACTTATCGTTAAACCATTTTCTCTTTTCTTATTGTGTTTTATATCGTTTAAGATTGTATATGTGTGTGAATATTTACGATATATTCATATTGTTTAATTTAGAATTACATTAATATATATTATCGATTAATTCTGATTATTTTTATTGACCACGTAATGCATTTAAGTAAGATTAATATTTCATTCTTATTATCTTTTTGTTTTTGTTAAATCTAAGATAAATCAAAATTCGTAAGACAATGATTGTAAAAATATTTATTAACCCTCTATAACGCTATTGTTTTATTTCATTTCATTACCATAAAATGTTGTTTCACATATCAAAAATTTATAATATTCTTAAAAGTATAAGTTCTGATTACTATAACACAATTATATTAATACAAATTTACATTATATAATATTTCAATATACACGAAAATTAATAGCATTATAGAAAGTTAAAACATATTGAAAAAAGTAAATAGAAGAAAAACATAAAAAAACGAATGAGAAGGTAATATAATAAAAAAAAAATGAGATATAAAGAAACAACATACAAAGAGCATCGTCCGTAAGAATCAAAACATGTATCACGTGTATTGTGTATTTCACGGCCGATACATATATTCCACGCGCACACACATTCACACACACACATCACAGCATAGAAGGTACACGCACGTGCGAATCATCGCATAAAATACGTGAGAATATTCAAAGAGAGAAAGAGAGATAGAAAGATAGAGAGAAAACATATTCATACGTAACACTAATAATATATATATATATATATACACATATATATGCATAGTATACATATATATATATATATATCACATCATAGAGAGAAAGAGAAAGAGAAAGAGAGAGAAGAACGCAACCAGCCCAAGTCCAATGTATATACATATATGCGTACGCACGATGTACACACCATTGACCGTGATATCGCTGTCTCGGGATGAATGAACTGTTACGTCACGAACTTGTATTCCATGGTTCCTTCCGCCACCACCACACCACCACCACCCTCTTCCTCCTCCTCCTCTTCCTTTTCCTCTCATCTCATACTCTCTCTCTCTCTTTCTCTCTCGTTGTATTCTCCCACCCGCCACCCCACACACAACGTACGGTCCTCCACTTTCGTCTCCGTCAATTCTCTTTTCCCCTGACCTCTCTTGCTCCCGTTACATTACTCCTATATGTATATATATATTACGTGTGTGTATACCTGCTGTTCTTGCTTGCTTGGTGCAGTTGCTGTTACTTGCTTGGTTGCTTGCTTACTGTCCTCCCTTCTACCATCGATTAGCAATGGAATCCATTTGCGGGACGGAACTAGGGAGATGCAAGCGCGAATCTTGAAGGGTGGTGGGAGGTAGAATACATACACCAGACGCAAGTCCTATAGTTTTCAAAAGAGGTCAACGTCTCTTTTTCTTTCTCTGTCTCTCTCATGTACTAACTCAGACAGCCGCCAGACACGACGATGTGTTGGCTATAAAATACCAGTGTAGGACGGCAAGGTCGTTACGGGATAAACGTTACTATCCTTACCGTTCCTTCTGTTGTTACACTGATACACTTTTCTTTCTTTCAATCTTTCATCCTTTCTTTCTTTCTTTCTTTCTTTCTTTCTTTCTTTTTGTACTTTTTTTTTCTTTTTTTCTAATTCAATGAACTAAATTCATGCATGTTGTCTTTCCATTTGAAATTAAGTTTATTTATATCAGAGTTAAGTCATCGATATCATACATCATCCATTAATTTCACTTATTTTACGATTCAAATATTTCTTTATTTTATTTTCTTTCATACTCTCGAGTGCGTTTACTTGAACGTGATAAATTATTATCTTTTTATGTATTGACCATTATGAACAATAGAAAGCATCGAAAATTGTTTAAAGTTTTAATTTGATTTTGCGTTTCAAATAATTATATAAACATTATATAAAGAATTCATACTTTTATAAATGCGTTATCGTTAAAATAAAAAAAAGTCACATGATTTATATTAGATATAAAATATTTTTGTAACGCGTATTTTTATGTTTATATGCTTTCTTGTTATTACCGTGAAATGTTTGGATTATTTTTAGTAATACTACTTGATGACTAAAAAACCAATTGAAACATTTATTAGTTCGTAATAAAAATAATCGATAGACCATAAAATGTATAATTAACTTGACACTTATTATTAGTTATTATTTAATTATTCGTTTCCTACCTTTACCTTATCCTTCTAATATCGTTTCTCTAGGTTCTCTTCCACTTTCTTTCAAGTTAGGATATAATTTAGCCTTAGAACCGTCACTATTAATTCGACCATGAAAATCTGGTTTCTTTTCCTTCGGCGTACTTCGTTGCAACCAGATATCTAACAAAGTCTTAGGTGTATGGTGATTCCCTTTGTGAAGTTGTTTTCCAAGGGATATCGATGTACTTGCTGGTGGTGACATAGGTGAATCTGTTGTTGCTCTGATCACACTTGCTCGTGCAGTTCCATCTTCCTTTCCAAAACTACTTTACATAAATTCAAATTAAATTTAATAATGTTTTTATAAGATTTTGAAAAGCTATAATAATGTATAATAACAAAAATTCTAATTTACCCATCCAATTCGCGTAAAGCTTGATCCAACTCAACTTTATCTTTATCGTCCTTGCTCTTTACTTCCAGCAAACAATTTAAAACTTCCATATGAGCAGCAGAATTATTTGCATGATGCTTGAGAAACATTTCCAATTCACTCCATAACAAACGATAGTGTTCTTCACGACGAGCACCACCTTTACCAACTCTTCCACCGCCTATATTTGGCATCGAAAATGTTTCATGTTTCGTTTCAAATTGAAGTACACTAAAGATTATTTGTTTGCACTGTAAAACCTCTTCCTGTGTTATTTCACTTTTTATCATTATTTCTGGTAAAGTATCGAGTAACTGAAAAGTAATATATATATAAGTAAGTATATATATAAGTACATATATACATATAATACATATATAAGTATATATATATATATATATATATATAAGTATATATAAGTACATTTCAATAAGAATTTGTTCCACTCTATTTTATAGAAAATAATATGATTATTTACTTGTTTGACGTTGAATATGAGAGTACTAGAAATTGTAATCGGCCAGTATTTTGTATGACGTTCTAATCTTGGTCTCATTCTTTCCACTGGTCCTTCTAAAGTACTGTTTGGACTACGTTTTAAAGGCACTAACATATTGTTTCTCATAAGAGATCCAAAATCCTATGTGATAAAATAAAATGAATATATCGAAAAAGAAAACTCAAGAAAAATATTTTTCTTACTTACGGTTATTCTATAATCCGTAACACGACCACCACAACCTTCGCTGATAGAAGGTGGATCTTCAAGAACGCTTCTTGCTGTAGATAATGTATGGATGAAAATTTCACCACCATGGGCAGCAAGTAAATGAGATATTGTTTTACCACCGCTTTTTCTTGCCATTTCTAACATTACAGATCTACCATTTAAAAGAAAATTAATTAGGCAAGAAGATGGTCTACTATTTACATCTACAGGAGTAATCCTGTGCATTGCAGTGCAATTTTGCATTTCTGATGCGCTACAGCCTCGAGGTGTACACCATTTTAAAGTCACCGTTTCATATTCTGAGCCTTCCTCGAATCTTCTAAATGTTTTTAGTAATGCTGAATCTTGTGGATTACCTATAATAAAAAAATATACATATGTATATTATTATTACATAAATTCTGATAATTAATTACATACCTTTTAAGATTGCAGAATGAGCAGCAGAAGCATGAAATATTTCAACATCATAGTTTGCCGAAGAGCTGGCATTTTGTTCTTCCTTCATTGGTATTCCAGTTACAGTCGTACTGGCTAAGTCATAATGCGATAAAATAAGATGTGATAACTTTGAATGTAATGCAGGTGCCTTTATCGAATGCACCTCCACTGTCAAAAGTGGAGAAACCTTTGGCATAAAAATTGAAAATGAAAAATACTCTTATCATAAATACAAGATTACAAATAATGAATACCTCTCGTGGACCTTGGCTTGTGACTTGAGATTCAATGTTATTAGGACAGATATTTAATATAACTAAATGACAATAGTCTATTGGCATCAAACTGCAAAAAAAATCAAAATATAAGTTATGTGCGTGTGTATGTGTGTATATTGTAAAAAAAATATTCTAATAAATACTTACTGATCTGAAGCTAGAGCGGTTTTATTCTCTTGAGTTAATTCATTTAAAAATATATTTTCTAAACTTTTCATATTATTATTATCCCGTGCACTGGTTATACAAATCACTCGACCCCTATTCAAAAGCTTACTAGTATTTACATTCAAAGAAGTTCTCTTTTCATGTTGAATCTCTGAACATTCATTGAGCGTTTCAATAGCTACTCTCAGGCCATGTATCACTGAGTAATCTTCTCCTGGATCTGGATTTTTTGTTGGTACACCAAGAATGGCAGTTCCATTCATTATCTAAATTTAAATGAGTTTTAGAAAAACCTCATCGCATTACAAGATAATAATTGTAAACAAATACTTACATGGGTTAAATTTTGTTGAAGCGGACTCCATGAGTTTAGCACGTAAGCTGCACGGTCTGTCACAACGTATCTGATCTATAAGAAAAAATATAAATTAACAACATGTTTCATAAATTATACTCTTTTAGTGACTTTAACACATATAAAATTTACAAACCAATTTTCCAGTTGGAAATAAGTCCCAAACAATGCGACAATATTCAAGGGATGCTTCAACGCTTGTAGTCCATAAGGATTTACAAACAGGAGCTAATGGTATTAAATTTTGTCCACGACTCTTTAAAAAGTCAAATTCTAATGGGCACTCAGAAGATATTCCAAAGTAAGGTGTATGGTCTAATACGAAAATAGTTTTATGATTTGCCGGATACATTCTACCATAGTATTTTTCAATATACACTTAACATTACAAATTTGTTTCTCTTATTGTTATGTTAACCTATATAGGTTAGATTTTATTATTGTGTGTGCTACTGTTCATAAATTATCTATTACATATGTATGTGTATTTATATATATATTATTTTGCACATGTTAATTTATATTTTTATATAAATGCACTTGAAATATATATTTATGTATATATGAATATAAATATGGACATATATATGGACATATATATGGATCAATTATTATTAACGCGTGTGCTAAATATTTATGAACAAATCACCTTTAGCAAGAACTAACAAGATTAATATATTTTCAACTTCAAATAAAAAGCTAATAAATTTTCTAGTAATAGTTTAAAAATCAAATAAAATGAATTAATCTATCGTTATCAAATTTCTAAAATAATGTTAGTATTCCCGCGCAGAATCATCGACAAGATTGATACCGAAATTCATAAGTACAGGTTAGAGAAACGATAAGAATTTTGATTAAAATATGTCAAATTTTAATTTTAGGTTAACAACAGTTCGAACTAATATGTCATCTGCATTATAAACGTGTTACATACAACTATATTTTTTCTTAAAATCATTATGTGTGTAATCGATATGACAAAAAAAAGATAAATATCTATTTTTAATCTTTTATTAGGTATTAAATATGAAGCCGAGATATACGTGCATTTATACTTAAGATGAAAACAAAAATGGCGTATTTCGTTGGGCGATCATCAGCTGATCGTAGGGTTTTAAAGTCTTTTTTACGATGTGACGTATAAGAAAAGTGCATTCGTTGGCATAAGTGAATCGATAAATATATACGATGGTTATAACAACGAGATTATCTTTAAAAACAATACGTTTACCGTATCATTATCACAATCTATTCATTGTAACATTATTTTTGTTTACATTGATTATTATATTAATAGCGGCATATCATGCTTTTAAATATGGTGATACTCCACAAAATTCGATTTACAATGCAATTGTTTTAAGCAATATTAATACGCTACCTACTGAAGTTTTAAATGCAGATTCTCCAGCAGCTGATATTACAAATTCTTCTTGTACATATTTTAATTGTTTTAATGTGTATCGTTGTGGTAGTAGAGGTAATAAACCTTTAGTATACGTATACCCACCTAAAATATATTTGGATGGATTACATAAACCGATAACTAGTCAAATGACTAAAGAATTTTATCAAATTTTAAATGCTCTTGTATCAAGTAAGTTTTACACTTCTAATCCCCATGAAGCATGTATATTTATTCCCTCCATCGATACTCTCAATCAGAATAGATTAAAATTGCAAGAAGTATCGCAAGCATTGAAAACATTACCGTTGTAAGTATTTCATCAATTTCAAAGAAGATAATCTTTTTTAAACATATATCATATTTGCAAATACATAATTGCAGTATTTTTATCTTATGACAATAGTTGGAACGGTGGAGAAAATCATTTAATATTCAATATGGTACCAGGAAGCGTTCCAGATTTTAATACAGTCCTTGATGTATCCGTTGGAAAAGCTATGATTGCTGGAGCTGGATTATCGACATTAACTTATAGATCTGGATTCGATATCAGTTTACCTGTTTATAGTCCATTTTTAACTAATTTTAATAGAAACAATAAAATGAAAAGGTATTATTGATATTTATGAGATCTTTAGAAAGAATAAAGTTTAATCATTGTATTTCTCTTTTTTAGAACATGGTTACTTATGTCCTCTCAAATTAATATCAATTCTCTTTTCGAACAAGATTTAATGGAACTTAAAAGTTCTTTTCCCAAAGAAATATTATTACTCGGTCCATGTTTACAATATAATCCCATGAACAATACCGTACGCTGTTCTGGAAAAGAGGTTTATAAATATCCTACCGTATTACAGGTATACAATACTTTTAATACAGTTTTTTTTATATAAAATAGTAATATTTAAATAAAATAAGCTTAAAAATGTTTAAATATTCTTACTTTTCTTTTTCTATTTTTAGACTGCTACATTTTGTTTTGTGATACGTGGAGCAAGACTGGGACAAAGTGTTTTATTAGAAGCTATGGCAACTGGTTGTATACCAGTAATTGTTGCAGATTCACTGGTTATGCCATTTTATGGAACAATTGATTGGACAAGGTTCAATATTTATAATAACAAATATTATATTTATCACTTGTTCAATTATATACAAATTATCGTGGTGGTAATTTTGTAGAGCAGCAATATTTGTACGCGAAATAGATGTCTTACAAGTAATATCAATATTAAAGAAAATATCTCAACAAAGAATCGTAGAATTACGAGAGCAAGGTACATGGCTTTATAAAAGATATTTTAAGTCGATGCAAAAAATAACAGATACGACTTTAGAGATATTAGCAGATCGTGTGTTTTCAAATATTGCGAGGAATTATGCATATTGGAATGTACCTCCCTATAAGGTAAATTATCAAAGACGTAATATATTTTTAAAAAGTCCAGAAAGTAAAAGATTTTATATTTTATTTTTATAAATAGGATAAAATTTCTCCACTCTTTTTACCATTAACCGCTCCCAAGACAAGAGGATTTACAGCTGTTATATTAACTTACGACAGGCTAGAATTATTATTTCTTTTAATCAATAAAATTGTCAAAGTGCCAAGTTTATCTAAAGTCTTAGTTATTTGGAATAATCAACAAAAAGATCCACCTCATTGTACGTATATGGAGAAGTAGCATTCAAATAAATATTAATCGTTTAATAATCATTGCACGTATATATATATATTGATCATTTTAATATATTACAGCTTCAAGATGGCCAAAATTAACTAAACCATTAAAAGTTATTCAAACTAAAGAAAATAAATTGTCGAACAGATTTTATCCATATGACGAAATAGAAACAGAAGCAGTACTTTCTATAGATGACGATATTATTATGTTAACAGCTGATGAAGTAGAATTCGCTTACGAAGTATAATTAATTATTATTGAATTGTTAAGTTGTTTATCGAGCAATAGTTCATTCATTTCGATGATGTTTTTAGGTTTGGAGAGAATTTCCAGATAGGATAGTTGGATTTCCATCCCGTATTCACATGTGGGATAACATTACTAATTGTTGGAAATACGAGAGCGAATGGACAAATAGTATTTCTATGGTTTTAACTGGTGCTGCCTTCCATCACAAGGTATATTTTATTATTAGTCATTTTTAAAATAGACAAATTTAATCCATGATTAACCAATTCCATAATCATACCTGTTTACATCAAATTTTGTAGGCATGAGTAATATTCGACAATTAAACCTTATGTCCTTTCGTAAATACCTTTACCTAAACTTCACTTCCTTTACCTGTTCGAGGAGACATACAAATAAGTATAAATTATTTCTTATTCCTTATGTTAATTATTATTTACTTTAAAAAAAAATAATAATTATTTACTGCAGTATTGGAATTATATGTATACAACTGCTATGCCAGGCGACATTAAAGAATGGGTAGACGAACATATGAACTGTGAAGATATAGCAATGAATTTTTTGGTCGCTAATACTACAGGAAAAGCACCAATAAAGGTAACTTTTATTTATTATTAATCATTACTGTAATTTTTTAAATAAGAATAATAATTAAGGTCAATATTTTTGAATAAACTTTTTTATAGGTAACCCCAAAAAAGAAGTTTCGATGTCCAGAGTGTACAAATACCGAAATGCTATCAGCAGATTTAACGCATATGGTTGAACGTACGCAATGTATTAACAAATTTTCATCGATTTATGGAACTATGCCCTTAAAATCCATCGAGTTTCGTGCTGATCCAGTACTTTTCAAAGATGTGTTTCCCGAAAAATTGAAAAGATTTAATGACATTGGAAGTTTATAATATCTTGTAATTAATTATATTTGACAGTCTTTTCATGGAAAAAATGACACATCTCGTCAAACAGTCTTAAATAATTATTAATTAATCAATTTCGTCGATCTCGAAGGATTCTTATTCTGATTCTTCTATCTTATAAAAAATATTTGACAGCTTCAACGTAGCATTAAATGTATACGTTGTCTGTCATATTATATTGTAAAATATTAAGAACATTTTTGTAAAAAGTTCGTTATAATAGAGTATATAATTTTATATCGTATAATGATAATAATTTCAAAATCTAATCCTTTAATCATAATTTATTAGACATATATTATAGATTGTCTTTTATAAGTTTGAGAGACTTTTACAACACTTTTTTGACTATATATTTTGTTATTATTTATTTATTCACACATATTTTATCTTCAGAATCTTTTGTTTTAATTCATGCATGTACAATAATAAACACATTAATTAGAGACACCACATTTATTATTTCATACAATAACGTATCGTCTATATCTGTCTTATCTACATGTTTTTTTATTTTCAAGGATATTTTTTTTTCAACACAAATATATACGTATTTCTACAATCTTTTACGATTTACATAAAAATCGCTTCTGCCGAACGGTCTTTGTAAGTGAACAAACATAAATTTTATGAAAATTAGAATGAATTATTTAAGAAAAATCAATTTATAATTTTAACAATTGCAATTAAAGATTTCACAAATTTCCGTTCACAATAATATATATATATATATATTTATAGATAAAAAATTAAAAAGCAAACAGAAAGAGAAATTAGAAGTCGCAGAAAAAAGTGAAATATTATTATTGTTACTCTTTCATTAACGTTCATTATCGTAGATACATAACTAATTATTGTCACAATAAGTGTGTGTAAAATAAAAGAAACGAAATGATCAATTGAATAAATAAATACTCAAGCTCAGTCGGTAATTATTCGATGCGTTTCGAGTGACTTCCATTTAAATTTTCTCTCTCTTTCTTTTTTTATCTTTCATTCTTTTCTTTTTTTTTTTTTCAATCCTTTACAGATCCTTTTTCTCTCTCTCACTCTCTCTCTCTCTCTCTCTTTCTTTCTATATATATATATTTTCTCTATTTCTCTTAAAAATACTTAATTAAATATATTAACGTCTACAGTAGGCTTTTTTATCGATTGGGAATATAATATAATATAATATAATATAATATAGTATAATATAATATAATATAATATAAATGTAATATATAATGTA